GGGGAAATTTTGAAGCCCTTCCCCTTTACTCTCTGTTTCAAGGGCCAAGGGGAATAAGATGGGAAAAGGGTAGGGGTACAAAAATAGAATTGGGATTGGGTCTAAATGTTTGAAACTCAACGGTTTTTACCCTGAATTACATTTAAATAGATCAGGAAAATTATATATTACCTTTTTTTTTTTTTTTTTTAATTTAAATATGGTCATTAACTAAATAAATTATTCTTTAAAAAAGAGCTAATTAAAGAAATGCTATTTCTCAAAGTAAATTTATATTGCAATAGGTTATCAAAAAGTTCTTGTATAATCATTTATGGTCGAATTTTGGCAATGCTGTATAAAATGTAGACTTTTTTTGTTCTTATCTGACAGGAGTATTGTCGGCGTGGTCTTCTCCTGCTTAAGCTCATCTGCGTGGAATAGACGATGATCGTCTGCGGATCTTGGTAGTAACAAATGGCTATTCAAGTAACTGTTGCCTCTCCATCAGACTGAACCAGCCTGGCCATTCTCCTCTGACCTCTGGCATCAACAAGGTATTTTTGCCCCAAGAAAGTCTGCTCATTGGTTGTCTTCTATTCAGACCCTTCTGTGTGAAAATCACAGTAGATCAGCAGTTTCTAAAATACCCAGACCAGCCTGTCTGGCACCAACCCCATCCTGATACTCAATTTGAACTTACTGGCACAGGAACTTTGCCTTTTAAAAATATAACGGTCAATTAAAAGCATATAAAGGTATGAACAAATATTGGTGGGTTGGTCTTGGCAATGAAATCATACTGAACAATATTTAATAATAACACTTAAACCATAGCAATGTACTCTCTAATTGAATTCTATAAATTGATATGTATAACATCTAATAGCAAAGGCTTTGTGTTTCCACATTTTTTTTGGCTGTCACATTTCGGACAGCATCTCCTAATTTGGTGTGACTCAATGGGAATGTGTGTAATGTCCCCCCCAAGAGGCTAATGTCATACTACAGATGCCTTCCTTCACCAGATAGGCTGCTCGGGCACGACATGTAGCCGCATTTGCTGGCTTCCTCCATAACTGTAACCCCACTGGTTAAGTGGCTTCCAGCTGCTCGTACAGACAGCTTTATGATGAAATACACGATTTCACTGCCTCTCCTCCCCAGAGGTCTGACCGCATAACTGGGTGGGGTTTGGGTGGAGAGAGGGCCGGTGGAGGGCACGCTGTTGAGCAAACAGAATTAAACCAATCGTGGTGCAAGAGAGTCAAAAGAGGACATGATCATCTGCGGCCCGACTCCGAGCAGCTGCTCGGTATCACAACGCAGGACGGCACACTCCACACCCCAATGAGTGTTGTTTAACATTCCTGTCCACTTGTGTGCAAAGCTCCATCTGGATTACAGATCTGGATGGTTCATCTAAATAATAGGATGTAGCCAACAGATCGCAAATCACTCATCTGTTTCGGAAAGTTCACTGAGGCCATGAGCAAAGAAATGTCACCATGCTAACACTAGAAACAATAATGTAATGGGTAATAAGCTAATAATATGCTTACCTTAAAGAGTTAGTTCACCCAAACTTTTTTCACAAGTTCATTACTAAGATAACCCTGAGATTTTTGTTCATCTTCAGAACACATTGTAAGATGTTTTGAATCTGAATGACTCTCCATAGACATCAACTGTACCAAGACCTTCAGAAAAGCAACCAAAAGCATTGCCAAACCATGCTATGTGACTTCAGATATTTAAACGTAATCATAGAAAGCTCCAGGAAGAATTTGTGCTAAAAAACACTGTAAATATTACTTTGTTTACTACAAGCAATATTTAGTACTAGCAGCAAAATATACAAGCATTATATTGTCTGTATTAAATGTACAACTTAACCTCAAGTGGAATACATTGTCAAACAAAGTAGTTTTTTTTTCTTTCTGTTTTTGCTTCACAAAAGTGTTCTAGGAGCTTCGTATGATTACAGTTGATCCACTGAAGTCACACAGACTGTTTTGACAATACTTTTGGTTCTTTTTCTGGACTTAAAATGTCTTGGGATTGTTCCAGTCTATTCATGATGAGAGAGCTCATCTAAAACATCATATTTGTGTTCTGAAAATGAACGAAGGTCTCAGGAGAATAGAACAACATGAGAGTGCGTAATTAATAACAGGTGTTGTATTACTAATCCTTTAAATGTGTTTTAAAGGGCACCTATGACAAAAAAATATCTTTTGTAAGCTATTTGGACAGAAGTGTGTGTAGGTACAGTGTGTCCACTGCCATATTGGGGTGACATAAACACAATAAGTCTCTTTTTAAATTTACTGACATTAAAATAGGGTCCAAATCCCTCCCATTCTGAGGCCCACCACAACGTGATGTAGAAGTTTGGTTTCCCCGCCCATCGAATTGATTGACAGCCACATATTAACATGCCTTCACAGTTATACATATAATCATATCCACAAGACAGGACGCGTGCAAAGCAACTGGGGTAAAAAGATCTGTTCAGCGCTCTGTGATCATCAATCATCATGAAATGTGATCAAGAATAAGCTTTACAAGCTTAAATCGTTTTTAAAACAGTGCATGTTTGTAATCAATTACAGCAATTTTACCGTCTTTACCTTATCAACAAAGCCGCATGACAGTAAAATTATAAAAGAAGACCCTTCAATCCTGGTTTATTTTGTACATAAACATAAAGGATGTCCATACAGCAGTGGATATTAACATGTATCTTGTCACATTTGTCATGCAAAAACAGTGCAAAGTTAGACTGTCACTGTGCTGTTTATCTGACGCAGGCAAGGTGGAAATTGACAGGCACGTGGAAACGGTGAGCGGGGAGAACCAGTATTAAAGGCACTGGCAGCAAAAACCACTACATAGTGTTCAGAGCAGAAGATTCCAATGTTCTGAAAGGTATAATAAATAATCTGATGGGTGTTTTGAGCTGAAACTTTACAGACGCATTCTGGAGACACAAAAGACTTATCTTAAATCTTGAAAAAGGGGTAAAATAGGTGTCCTTTAAAGCTGAGTTGACAGTGGGTGTGCCACAAGCTCCACTAGATGGCACTCCATCCTGCACCTCTGCAATTCACCTAGACTACAACTCCCACAAAGCATTGCACCAATCAACCTAATTGGATTTGCATACATATCCTCTACTCTACTGCCAAAATCCAGTCAGTTACAAAAGTCACCAAGATTTCAAAACGGCTAATTCTCATTTTTAAAATGGAAAACTGCAGTACTTCTTGTACAACTGTCAGGATTCTGCCACTTGGGTCTTGTTAATTCTTGTTTTGGAGTCCAGACACTAGTCCTGTCATGTCTTGTATGTTATGCTTGGCTTGAGTTTTCTCAGCTCCTTCATTTTCCGTCATTGTCTGTCAGAAGCCCTGTTTACACTGTCAGGTAAATGTCACCCAATTCCAATTTTTTGATCGTATGTGACACAGATCGGATCGGTTCTATGACCGTGTAAACACAAAAAAATGCATGCATTGGATATTCAGAAATCGGTTTTAGGCCTCCTTCATTTGTGGAAATAAATCAGATATAAATATGATATGTGACAATGCGACTACCATGTAAACAGGCAGATCAAATTTATTGAGGTCTTCAGTTTTGTACGTCATTAAACTTGTGACAATGTAGTAATCCTCCGCAGTTTAATGACGGAAAAGAAGTGGAGAAGAAGTTTGTGTAGAGATGCAGACGCTGTAAAAAACAACAACAGAGGAAACATAGAAAAGGACAGTGGTCAGTCGACACAATTTGTTCCCACCAGACCTCTCTTGTACCCACAAATTTCTCTGAATGGTGGAGGACACATATATAAACCAACTTTACATATTTCGCAGAGCTAAAAGCAAGACAATTTCTTCCATCGGGGCTAGTGTGGCACAGATGCTAGAACCGGCCTTTACACATGCGCAACGTCGTAAATTGTATGCAAAATGTAAACACATGTATCGGATATGGGTCACAAATAAAAGAACCAGTTAATGGACAGGCAAAAAAGTCAGATATAGGCAACAAATTGGAATTGGCCATCAAGACCTGACAATGTAAACGGGGCCTAATATGTCTTTGTATGAGGGCTGTTTTGGTCGCTTTAGCGTGATGTTCTCTTAGCATGCTAAGAGAATGTTTCTTAGCATGCTTTAGTGTCGTGTTTCATGTAAATGCACGGTTAATGAATTCTCTCATTGGCTGTGTGTTCAAGTCCTGTCTTCTCGTGAGCACATGGCTTTTGTTGTCTTTGTCATGTGCTCTCCTGTCTATTGTTTAGTCCCACTCTCCTTGTTAACACATTATTATGCAGTTCACCTGTTTGTTTGTTAATTCTTTCTGCTTATAGCTCCCTCTTGTCTGATGCCCTGTGCCAGTTTGTCGTCTTTCTTTCCAGTGTCTACTCATGTCATGTCCAGTCCTCTCCAGCCGTACTCTTCCCTGCAAGCCCAGTCAAGCCTGTGCTAGTTATGTTTTTTCCCCTCGGGGTTGTTGTTTTTTTTTCTCGATTTTTTTACTTTTATTATTACTAAACCCATTTGAGTTCCTGCACTTGAGTCCTTCTCCTTACCTTCTTGAAACCCTGACAACAAGATTTTACTATGTACATACATTTAAAAAATATATGGGCCATGGTTAACTGTAACTAAAATATGACAATATTAACTAGATCTTTTTTTCTAATATTTGCACATGATCACTCTAGTAAACAAGTAAAAATAAATATATGATCAAATTTGGGGCATCGTGATTAAAAGCAGGGACCCTTATAATCTGCAGAGAAATGCTTAAGCTATACATCTCATGTTTAATAGGGGATTAACATGATTCCAGTGAAGCCCATAAACACCAACTGGTCATGCTCTAGCAGGTCTGACAGGAAGTCGGGTTAATGTGTGTGAATTTCAGAATGAAAACAAATACTCTTGTCTCTAATTATAATCTCCAGACTTCCCCTGACACTATGTCAAAAATGCATAGGAAGTACTCACATGGGACACGGCTGGCATGCCATGGTGCGGAGTTCGTGACAAATCCATGCTTTGATGCAGTGACGATGACCCATGTTCCTGGCCGGTACAAGAATGTAAGTGTGACAATCCCATCTTCTCCCACAAGGTTGGATGCTAGGATTGTTTGGTTTCCACACACTTGGACTGTGGATTCCCTAAGAGGTGACAAGTCACTGTTGTCGAAGACCTGGACTTTAATCAGGACTTCTGTGAAGACAAGAAGTAGAGATTTGAGGGACATTTCAATATGAATGAAATAGTACAGAAGGCACTAGGGCTGCACAATATATCGTTTTAGCATTGATGTCGCAATGTAATCATTCGCTATATTCACGTCAAAGGATATGCAATGTTGAGTCTGGATTATAATGTAGCATTTGTATGTGTTTTTAAGGCCTCTGACAGTATGATAATTTTCAGGCATAATCAATTGTACCTTTAATAATAATGATTAATATTATTAAATTATTATTATTTTTGATATTCAATTACTGTACCTGAAGACCGCTAGACTTAGACAACAATAAATCATTGTTTGTTTCAATTGTAACTTTTCTTTATTGTATTTATCTTTGCTTTTAATTTTTTGTTACATTTTATGCAGATGCACTTCCATACAGAGTCCTCCCAATCAATCTAAAATGATTTATTCTTTCCAAACAGAGAAATTCAAATCATCTGGTGTAAGTTTATTCATAATCGCAAAATATTACAGAGAATAACAAAATATTGTAATGTTAGATTTGTCCAATATCTTGCAGCCCTAAAAGACACTGACGAAAGTTTTCATGACCAATAAAAATAGTTTATACACTGCTAAAAATGTTTTGTTTGGCAAATTTAAAACAAGAAACATTAGATTTACAAATAAAATGACTACACTGTGACAAAATCTTCCTGCCTTACATTTTTTAGTTGAATCAAATGAACTTTTGCAGTCATCTCAACTTAAATCAGTCTAAAACTGACTAGTAATATACTATATTAAACTTTGTATAGCTAAAACAATTTAGTTGAAACTTGAATAACTCATTAAATTAGGTTAAAGTAACATAAAAAAAACATTTGTTGTCATGACTTTTTCACTTTTTTTTTTGTGTACAAGTATCACAGTCCTGCCTGAAACCTAATGCATAGTACAGACTAGACATAGTACAGATTTTTGGATTTTCCAGCACATTCCTGGACAGCATTGGTGGAGACACCTAGACATCACACCATGAGCTGGTTCTCCCTGTGCACCATTCCAACGTGCATGTCTGCTTCTCATTCAATTTCATCAGATAAACAGCAGTCAGTGATAAAAAACAGACATGGATGAAGCTGAAATACAGCTCATTATTCAAAAGTGCCAAGTAAGTTTACTTGATGTATTTGCGGTCAAGTTTATTCAAGCCTTTCTGAAATATTGAGTCTGATCATGCTGTTTGCAGTACACACACAAACACACACATATGCGCATTCACTGACACCATGCTGCCACGATGATTATAGCCGTTAAAAATTACGTAGTGATTTTACTCTATTACAAACATGCACTGCTTTAAAAATGTTTTAAAGTTATAAAATTGTTATTGAGGTGAAGCTGATTACAGTGAGTTGTAACATGTTTTTAATCCCAGTTTTACAAAAAATGTCCTGTGGACATGTGTATACATGTTATTATGGAGACATGGCACCTGTCAATCAATTTGGTGGGCGGGGAAAAACGCACTCCTACATCTTGTTGCGGTGCGCCTCAGAATCACTGGGGTTTGGGTCCTATTTTGACGTCAGTCATTTAAAAAACGAGACTTGTTCGGTTTATATCACTCCAATATGACTGTGGACAATAGGTGTGCTTTAAAATACAAATTTATTGTCATTTTAAATAATTTAAGTCAACTTTTTTCATTGTTTCACAAAGCTTGACTAAACCTAAACATTAAAGAAATTACACGAATAACCCCCCCATAAATATATTGTCATTACCTGAATGAAATAATTCACTGAATGGAAATATAAACTTTTTATATCACATTTTTCATTAACTAAAACTTAATTAAAGCTCTAAAGACATATATAAAACACAATAAAACACTACAAAATCACTAACACGTTAACTACAATAAAAAACATGTATGTTTAAAATATTACAGAATGCCATAAAATATATTAATAATTGTAACATAACATTGTATAGATTTTGGTATGTCTCATCAGCACTATATTGGTTACTGTCCAACATTAAAGCATTATTTGTTCAGTTGCAATTAAAATATATATTATTTGGCCAATATTAGTAATTATGTATTTTATACACAAGTTTCAGTCTATTGTTGTGGATTAATCTATTATAAAGCTGCCAGTCCCTCAACATCAAGTACCAGTAAATGTCAGGATAAACAGGACTACATATTTGCATGCACTGAAATTTAGTCAAGTCTCATTTGCTGACAGTTTGTGTAAGACACCTAGACACAGTGCCCTACATTCAACAAATGAGATGACTATGTTTAGAAGTGGCTGCCCTGATCCATCAAGTTAAGCACTCTGGTTTGTTTACATTGAAGGGTCGAAAGCATGGAGTTCCACTGAGCCTCTTTCAGTGAGCCAGAATGTCTGCCACTACTTTCGATTGACACTGGGCAAATGCAGCGAAGTCTGCTGGAATTCCTGCACATGTGCTTTCTGTTCGAAACTGATGACCTGGTTCATCCCCACAGAACATTCACAAGGGCACAGACAAAGACATGCAAACAGGTCTGGGATATACAGATCAGTTTTTAATGGAGCTCTATATTAAATTTATAGAATTAGAAGTGAAGATGTAATGATATGAACATTTCTAATCATGCTTATAGTGACCATAGGTTATCGATATTATGATGCTTTTGTTAAAATTACCTGAAAATGCCACACATACTTATTTCATAAAGTTTCATTTCTGAAAATGAATAAACAACAACTAAAATTTGCAGCTTTATGCAATTTTGTTACAATAAAAGACATTTTTTGAAGCTTTATAAAAGCCAAAATGGTTGTGCAATTACATGAAAATATCTAATTGGGATTTTATTGTGATTTGAGTCTTCAGGTCTGTATTCCCAATAGTGCGCAGAACACACTTTAAATTAAAGGAATACAATATACTTTATCTGTGTGTGTTTATCTGTGTATATCTACAGTATGTATTATTATTATTATATATTGTTTTATAAATAATATATAAAAACATGCATTTACATTTTAATTATAATGGAAATCTGAAACGCTAATACAGAAAATCTGAAAAAAATTGACTGCAGTTTACCTTTAAAACGTCTTAAACTACATCACAGATCATTTATTATAGCTTGTCAGATTTGCACCCTGTTTAGGTGTGAGCAAAAACATGCCATATTCAAGTGTGTCCCTTCAAATGCAAATGAGCTGCTGCCTTCAAGAAAAGGGCGGAGCTATTACATGCTTTCTGACACTGCAGAAACAACAAAATAAGGCATCCTAGGCATACAAAATGTCAAAAATATCTATTAGCAACCAGATAGTTCAAACTGTAATTCACACTTGACTGTTCAAACAGTCTAGAGTTAATCTTTTGAAATTATACATAATATGAAACATAATAAGCTTTACATTCACGAATAGTCTTATTCACATCTAGTTTCTGAGGCTTTAAAAGAAAAATACTGAGAAAACTGCTTTTAAAGAAATAAATGAAGTGGCTTAGCATTACTAATAGGACATATTATACTACAATGGCTTCATTGACTTGGACTCAATGGAAATTCTTGAGTTCTTTGATGCACCCAATAACAGAATGTTTGTATTGTTTTTTAATATTTTTTTCTTGGCTCAGACAGATAGTATATGAATTGCAACATCAGCTCTTTTCTCTCAGTGTCCACAGTGGTTTGCTGAGTGATAAAAACTGAGTTTTTTCTGACTTTACTCTAATTGGTCAGATGGCCCAGTCTGCTGTGATTGGTCAATTGCTAACAACTGCAAACCAAACAATTGGCATATCTGAATTACGGTTGGGCCGATAGACTATATCATCGTCCATCGCCGATGGCCAATAGACAACACAATGCTGAGCCGGCTTTGCGATCCTCTAACTCGCACTCATAATGCCCGCAAACGAGTGATAATCTCCCAGAAATCGCGCATCTCCCTCGTGGTTATCAACTAAGTCGCGCACCCTTCTCACCCCCGGATCCCTCCTTGCTCTTCAGACACGTGCGCGCACTCTATCAACACCCCCCCCCCCCACCCCCTTTTCACATGGTGACGATGCCATCGTCCATCGCGATGTTTTACATTAAACATCGTACGATGCCAAAAACACAACTAATTGAAAATCTGAAATCTGAGAGTTCAAAAAGTTCTAAATATTCAGAAAATCTTTCAAAAAAGTTTTAAGAAATTGTCCAAATTCCATTCTTAGCTATGCATATTACTAATCAAAAAACATGTTTTGACAGTTTTATGGAACAAAATATCTTTGTGGGAAACATTTTTACCTAATAATTAAATGATTTTCAATAATGTATTTTTAGCTCTTCCAAAAATATAGCTGTGCAACATTATACTCCTTTTGTGATCCAGGGTCAGATTTATATGATCCAGGGCACTTTGCTAGCTGAAGTTTTGCATTAACAAACAGCTACATTACACACTACTAATATCTAAAAACAACAACAACAAAAAAAAGCATAATGAGGCACTTCAAGTTTAAGTGTCATTTCTGTCATGTTTTCCATCTCAAAGTAGAACCACAGGTTATGCAAGGCCTGCTTTGCGTCCCATTCAGGCTTGAATGCTGCAGCGTCCTTCACAACCTTTCATGCTTTTGATTCTAAATGGGTCAATTGATGCATGTTACCATGGATACTAGGAGATGTCAGCTGGCTAACTGTGGGAAAAAAAAAGGGTCCTTGCATTTCCTGGCGAGGGGACACAAGTTCGGTTCAGAAAATGAGTCATGCACTGTTGATCTGATCACACAATGGTGATAATATTCAAAACAACCCGTATGAATCATTCCAGAGAAGAATCAACATGCGCAAACAGAAAAGGTCATATTCCTTTACAGAAATTATTGGCGATTTTGTTTTCATAATAGCACATTCATTCATTCATTTTCTTTTTGGCTTACTCCCTTTATTAACCCGAATGAACCACCAACCCATCCAGCATATGTTTCACGCAGCGGATGCCATTCTACC